GGTTACATCTCCTACAAGGGCAGAAAGACAATAGCACAGTCCACCATACTGCCTACTCTGGAGTATGGAAACATTCCTTATGGCAATGCTGCTGCTACAACTTTTAAACCACAGGATGCTGTCTATCACAGCGCTATTCAGTTTATTACAAAAGACAGTTACGCTATTCACCATTGTGAGCTATACAATAGGACTGGCCGGTCATCGCTGGGAACTAAAGCATGCCCACATATTTACATCTTCATCTTTAAAGCCATGCAGTCAAAATGACCACACTACTTAGTATAAAATCTGTACTTAAGTTTAGTTCTTGCAACCATAATACAAGAGCACAGATGAGATTGGCATTACAAAGGCCTCATATCAAGTCTGATATGGGAAAGTCTGGTTTCTGGTATTATGTATTATCCTATTAATGGAATGGTTTGCAATGTATCCTGAAACAGGAAACAGTTTAAAATTCACTTTACAATAATCTTAAAGATAAATGATTGATGATTTATTGAGTTGTATTTATTTAGTTATGATTCTTTTTGTCAGCGTAGAAATTATTTTTTTGCTGATTTCACAATTTTACTAACTTCTGTGTTTGTATTTTATGATATTATGATTTTACTAAGTTATGTATACTAATATTATCCAAGTCTACCTTATAAAAGAAATCTCGATCTCAATGGCACTTTCAGGTAAAATAAAAAATATAATTTGCAATTTGATGATTTCAGTGACTCACGGTCTTCCAGCTAAACAGCTAGGAAATGCAATGCCAAATACAAAGACAGCAGAAACAAACAGAAGCATCACTTAAATCATACACGTGTGTGCTTAGAGTCACAGATTACCCTATCAGGCATGTCCTTGGGAAGAAAAAGAAAAAAAACAGAACAACAAATTAAATATCCACAGGTCCTTGATTTAAAAAAAAAAATCTTGCTGGTTTTCACCTGCAGAAAAGCTTTTTATCCTTTGTTCAGAGGGTTTTTAAAAATCCTGATATATGAAACGATTCTGGCAGTGTTCATTGATCTGCAAGCTGCGTCTAGATGTTGTTTTTGGAGATTGGGCAGGATGAAGCAGCTTACGTAAGCAACAGTCGAAGTCATCGGGGGAAGGAGCAATTTAGCCCCACATCTATGTTAGAAGAGAAGTGATGAGATATTACCAATATCAGCACACTCACGCTGTGCTTAAGCACATGACATGGGTTCCAGAGCCCAACGACTAATAAAGACATTGCTGCAGAATGCTCTGCATGAACATCTGCTCATTACATTGAAATTGCTACATTACCAGCTGTGAAAATTAACTGGGAACCTGTGCCATCATGTCACTCAAAATAGAGTAATGGAGCACTTGAGTGATATATATGTTTATCATTATTCTAGCAATTAAAATGCACATACAGTATGTATTGAAGGTCTGCAGATACAAAGTTTGACTATCTTTAATATAAAAAACTAGTTCTGCAGCAAGCAACAAAACAAATGATTAATTGACTAAACGAATTCAATGGACGTAGTGCTTGTGATGGTTTGCAGTCATTTGTGTATTTAAATCAGCTGTCCTCCAATTAGTTAATTTGTTCCAATTAAAGGATTCATACACACAGAGACCGACTGAACAGAAACAATATGTTATTTGTTAAGATACAGTTAAAGCTACATTGATTGATGTTTTTCTGTTTTTTTTGGGGGGGGGGGTCACTTGGTGACAGGAAAATCTGTAAGCACGACACCGTCATATGATCACATAAAAGAGGTGTTCAGCAAATGTTCTAGCAACATTTTTATTTATTTTTTTATTTTTTACATATTTATGCAACACAGACAAGGAACAACATTACCATTCAAATGAAGTCATGCATTTAAATCCGATACTCACTTTCCTGTTTTTATTTTTGCCAACTCCCAAGGGGTATATCCAGCTCTATGATTGCTTAATTCTATACTACAATCACCAGCTAGTTGCTGTTTGGTGCTGGGCAAAAAGCATTTTTAATGAAAACATGGCTGACAGCAGAACTAGTGGGCCAGAAAACCAAAACAATACGCTGAAAGATATTAAAACTCTCCACAAAGCTGAGAGAAACTGCAGAGTGGAGTGATTATTGTCATGATTTGTTTACTGTGAGCAACCTTTTTCACATTATGCACATCATTTTATCCACCATTAACATAAAATATTGATTTATGCTGCTTTAAATTATGCCAAATATCCACACAATTAAATCCAAAAATCAAATTATTGAGCTGAAGAGGCCTGTTTGTCCATGACTGAACAACTTTTCACTGTTGCTCTTCACGTGTGCCATGTATGTAACAGCTAAACCAAGAGGAGATACACAAGGAACAGGTAGAGAGTATTCAATTTAGCCTCTGAACTTTATGTGAAAGCATGGCAAGGAAACAAGAGTAAATTAAGTTACGTTTGAGGGAATGAAATCAGTATCTCTACAATAAATCATTAGTCTGAACAAGCTGGGCATGCCACATTTTTGCAAGAGGCTTAATGTTGGCCACAACAAGAAGTAACTTCACTGTCTATGGCTACAGTTAATAGCAGCCTCATTTTACATAATTTGAGTAATTTGAGGGCACCAGTTAGTGAATCAAGACAACAATTTACTAATTCAAGGAAACAAATAAAGCTATTATTAATTTAAGGGAAAAATACTAACAAATCATCTGAAAATCTGCCCATGAAACTTGCCTGAAGCAATCAAACAATTCATTCTCAGTGATCATTCTCTTTCTCTGCAAACTAAATATGTAAACATTTAGAAATAAGACCCGTATTAAAGAGAGTTGTATGTATAGAAAACACTTAAATCTGTTAATGGAAAAACTATAACAAGATTTTTAATAAGCAAGCAACACCTACAGTATAAACTACTCAGAGCCACAATAGTCATTTCAAATGGATGTAATAAAAAGTTATCCATATTTGCTGCTGTATACGTTACAAAGCTACACTTAAAACAAGAGATGACTTCATTTTATGACCGTGTTACAGCATTAGTGACCAAAGGTCATTCCGCAACAGCTGTTTTATGGAAGATAAGTTTCGGGGGCAATTAATTTTAGTAAAGTAGCACAGTTTTAAAAATGAAAAGCTCTGAGGACACTGGTGACATTTTGGTGTTAGAAGTGATTGGTGAAGTGGTGATTTTTTTAAATCTTCACGGAACAATATTTAGATGAACTCTTTAAGGTGGTGATGGACATTATTTCTAACCATCCTAGCATACACTTAGCTTTACCTGTGACTTTGTCTTTCAGTTTTGGGAACTGCACAAAAAGCACATGTTCCCGTCAGCCATCATGGTTACTGAAGTGCCTGGTGGCACTCCGTGTATGTTTGTGTGGGCACAAACATTCATTTAGTGTTAGCCTACTAAAAGTAAATGACTTTCAGCCTGCTACAGTAGGTTGTTATAGAACTGTGTAAGAGTTTTGTACCACTGAACAGAGACAAAAGGAAATAGAATTGTTTTGTATTTTCAGATGACCACATTTAAAGCTTTTGAAGAAAAATATACTGTGAGGAACCTCGTAGTGTATTTGTTCCAAGGCCATAGAATTTCTGAATTCCAATTAAATAATGCCCTGAGTCATCTGAATAGTTCAATGCCACAACTATTTAAGAGATACCTGCTCAAAGCAGCAGTGGCAATGAAAATGAAAATTACTAACGGTGAACTCAAGCCTAAAAATGAATCCAAAACAATCTGGGTAAATATATTTTATAAAATATGACAGAATGAAAATGAATTCATAAACTCTTCTGCCTACAGAGGTTTACATAGTGAAATATTTTAATTTTAATACAAGCAAAACAAAAACTATCATGAAAGCAAGCCTGCTTTTTTGTCATAGACAGTATTTCACATTTCATATGGCGTTCTTCTGACTACATGTAAATGTAGTATTGTAGTATGTATATTCTGATGGTTTTAAAGAAGTGTACCAATTTAGTGGTAATGGGTGATAAAGTTACAGTAAAACTCAAAATACATTAGTTTGATATTTTAACTGAGGTTTTTGTTTTTATTCCGTCCAGCTCAGAGTAAAATCCTATCAACATATGCTTTTTGTTGAAAACGTATTTCGGCAAAGTTAAACTGCTTCTTAACATTGCAGCTAGGTAAGAACATGAGAAAACAGGAATCGTATAATTAACAACAAACCTGGAAACATTACACAGTAGCACACAAGCTACAACATGCTATTCAGCCCTTTACATCCTCCCTGCAGAATATAGTAAATTATAAAACAAAGGTCTCCATGTCCTGGCAGGACAAACTGTCTAACAGAAATTCTTTTCTACCTTCTATACTAGTGTTGGTGTTAAAGGCTCAGTGACAAGGGCTCAACAACGGACGAGCAACCTTTCGTTTGTTTACAAAGAGTCACATAAGGGACCTGATAAAAGTACTTGAAAGAAAATTATTTTTTTCCCCAGCCTTTCCTTGAATTGAAATTTAGGAGCAACCTCGAGGAATAAACTGACTTCAAGCAATCATGTTTATTACACAGTGTAATCTGTAGTCTTGAACCTCAGTTCAGTAGCATTTATATTGATGCTAAAGAGGGATTATAACTTTAAACATAACTAAACTAAAGTGGTTTATATAATAAATGTAATGCATTATACGATAAATTAAATTTCCTTGTGCATTACAAAATGATTAAACTGTAGTGGATCATTATAGTGTGATTAAGGGTGTATGTGGGCTAGGTAAAAATCATTTTACAAAGTAATGATTTTAGTCAACAGCCTCCAAGCTTATATCATCATTATCAGGGTTGCAGTTTTGAGTATTAATCAAGAGATCGTTTTATTTATGTAAGCAGCACACTTTGTAAACTGATTAAGTTTGGATACTTTATCTCTCAGTTTAAAAGGGGATGAAAGGAAAAAATAATTAAAATACTCATATCATATTAAACGGGTGTGGTTATCATATACCATGGCAGAATCCCCTTATTTAATGCACTTACCTATATCACCAGGTTGGATGCAAAACCTCCCATGTCAGTCAGCTTTAGTAAACGGGTCAAACATTGGTCCCTGCGGTGAAATGAGAAATCCAATTAAGCAGGGGGACATCACATGGTGATAGGTACATATAGCCAAATTGTCATACAAAAAGGAATGAACAAACGTTGTGCTCGAGTGTGTATTCAATTGTTCGACAAAGTGTTTAACAACTGGAGAACTTACTTTTTTCCAAACATTGTAAAACTTTATATTTTCCCAATGGCTCTAAAAATTTGCATTCAAAGGGATGCATTCGCCCAATGGGACATACACTGTTATAAACAATGACACATTCTTTAATGAATAATACATTTGATGGGACTGCTCTGAGAATGCTGAAGTTATAAAAGGACCAGCCCTCCAGTTTTTTAGGCACATTGTGTGTTTAAAAAAAAAAAAAAGCTAAAAATGCTTGAAGATACAATTCTTCACATTGAGTAAGACATTATCACCAAAAAGAAGACAGTACGGTAAACCTTTAATAAGTTGTTTGCATTTTGCTTCATTGTATCTTTCTCTTTGCCACAGGAAACCAAAGCAAGCAGTTCAGTTACGTTTGTTTTCAACTGCCCTCTGACTTAATTGCTCCATTAGTTAATTAGTTATTTATCTTTCACCACTTAAAGCCCACATGTAATAATGCATTAAGAACTGCTGCTATAGAGACCTACAGTTTTTTTTTTTTTTTGAAAAGAGAGAGGGGGGGGGGGGTGGGGTGGAATAAAATCAAATTAACATTAATGAAGTGAGTTACATGACTGTGTATGGGGATAAAGGGGCCAGGTCTCAAAAGACACTCAATATCAAAAGACAAAGGGAGGTGAAAGGCAGGCTTGTATTAACACACAACAAACTTCCTAGACACTTTAATTGCCACCTTAACCTCTGGTGTCAGAGCCATTTAGTCGCCACAAAGGCATGACATGCTAAGGGAAGTAGAAGGGGAGAAAAAACTCAAGCTGTGCACTGCATCAACCTCACTTATCCTCCTTAGCCTCTGACACTGTGTTCCCCTATAGAGCTTTGCCAATAAACCACTAAAACTCCCCCAAGGCTCTGGTAAACATTACTGTACAAGCCCACATTGCTGTTATGACCTCTCTCATTCAGTGTTGGTAATGCTGGCTCTTAATTGCCATCTTCTGTCATTTGGGCAAACTGTAAATGTGTAACCACTAGCCTCACCGGTTGCAGAAAGTGCATTACATAACATAAGCTCATTCTTAACGCACACTAAAAGGCTCTTTTCTCTGCGGATTACAGCTGAGGAAGAGGTACATCATAAGAAAGTTGCAAAGTTGACAGATGAAAGGGAGTCTTTACTGAGTCTTCAAGTAGTTTTTTTCCCCCATCTTCTTTTATATTCTTCCCCTTTTCTTTGCACACACACACACACTCAGTAGCCAGTGTTAGAGATTTGTCTGAGCATTCTGCATTTTAGGCAGGGAAACTGTGTGAAATGTGTATATATGTGCATGTGCAATATGTGAAATATGGCTCACGAGTATGTGCATGTGCAATATGTGAAATATGACTCACGAATGTGTAAAGTGTGCAAAGGGAATGTGCGATATGCATTGTATTGTTTTTAAACGGTACACTAGGCCAGTGATGAATGTGCATGTTTTTGAGTGGTGAAGGCTCATGATGAGTAATGCAGTTTCCATCAATGTGGATTAATTAATTTTACCTCTAGCCAGTTTAATAAGTACTGTACATCTGGCTATAAGTAATGCAGTCTAATACAACAGACCTGCAATAAATCCTACCCTCATTAATTTTAAAAGTTTTCATTGAAACTGTTTTAAGAGGTGTTGATACACATCCTCCTCATCACATACAAAGCCCCCTTCTACCTGTCCAATCTCTTCCACTATCACACGCCAGCACAGCACCTCTGTAAATGTACTATTGGTATTATAAATTGTCTGGAGTTATGTCACATTGTCATCTTGTTATTGCTGAAAACTACAAGTTTGAAAATGGGGGTGGGGTGTTAGAAATCCTAATCTCTGGTGACAGTTGAGTTGCATTGTGGGCAATGCAGGCATCGAGTTTTGACAAGAAAGAAAAATGAATGGATTTAACCTGACAGTATCTCTGTCGGTTAGATTTACCAACCTTGGAGCTACTTGAAAGGGACTGACGTTTCCACTACTCGGTGGGACTTAATGGTAAGTTTAAAAAAAAAAAAAACACAGGTTGCTCTGTTAATGCCTTGTTTCTGTAGAGAGAAGTGTTGTAAGGCTAGAGATATTATTATGTCTGCATTATGCCAGTTAAAATATGGCGTTTCTCAATTACCTGCTTTGTTTAGGGTGTTACAAATCTATTTTCATCGGTACGTATGCCGTTGTTTACCCATCTACGGAGCAGACCATGGTATTTCCTTAAAAGTAAATGCCATGAAGGCATCCAGGCATGAAATGTCACACTAATTCAGGGCACAAACACAAAATGTGAGCTCAGAAAGGACTTGCTGAACCCATACAGAGCAATTTGGTGAAAAGGTGGTCCAAGAAGACTGACATAAAATGGACTGCAGACACAGTCCTGATTGATTTTGCAACAACAATTGAAACATTGTTGCTCACAAATTTTTAGAGCAAAATCTATTACTTCGTTCTATAACTCGATCATAACTTCCAATTATTGTAGGTGTGACAAATAGCACTTAAGACATTCTATCCTTAAAAGATTATTATTGATTACATACTTAGCTGAAAATAACAGAAGTGCTACATCTCAGTGGTAACTTGGTGTCAGTTCTAAAACAAATTAATTATAAATATTTTTATATTTCATTCTGCAACAGGTTTCTTCTTTAACTAAGATTTAGTTGGCACGGTTGTGGTCTTGCTGATGGCTGAGCTTAAATCTTAAATTAAAAATGATTAATAAATCAGTGAATGAAAGTTCATGCATGACCTTACAAACTAATTTTTACTATACTTTTATTTGTGTTTAAATTGGTTTATTTTTGCAGGGTCTAAGGATGTGGAGGATATTAGAATCAGAATTAAAACCAGAATCAGCTTTATTGGCCACATGTGTTGGGCACATGAGGAATGTGACTCCGGTACAGTGGCTCTCAATCTGTATGTACAGTGATGAGCTGTACTGGCCACATGTGTTGGGCACATGAGGAATGTGAGTGACTCCGGTACAGTGGCTCTCAATCTGTATGTACAGTGTTCTTCAGTAAGGCATCAGTAAGGCAACAAGTAAACAAGACAGAGAACAAGAGAAGATAAAGCGTGCAAACAAGAATGTGGATAAGGAAATAAATATAGTTTTGAGGGAGTTTTTCAGATAGTGTGTGTACAAAAGTATATTTACAAGATGCTGTACTGAGGGTTGTTGTTCTGTTATACAGTCATGGGTTAAGTGTTCATCAGTGTGATGGCACAGGGGAAGAAACCGACCTTGTGTCTGGTAGTTCTGGCGCACAATGACTTGTAGCAACGCTGTCCAGGGGGAGCAGTTCAGACAGTTTGTTTCTGTGGTGTGAGGGGTCTTTAGAAAATGTAATCATTTGGCGCTAAACAGCGTAATTGCTTGTGTTCATATTTACTAAGGAGCGGCAGTGGGGTTTTGCACCAGAGCAACAGAAGAACAGCAGCGCCACAGGAATTAACACATTTGGTCTCAGACGATATTTATTTTATGGCGTTCCCATTCAGGATGCCAAAATAAGAAAGGAGAGAATAGAAATTTCTACAAATACCCTCAACGCCTCATTTACCACTGCTGTGACAGAGGGAGCTGCAGCTGAAATTCAAATTAAGGAGAAAGTAGGTGTAAAATGTGGGGCCCTGTGCTCAGTGTGGCAGCTGTTAGTCATTTGAGGCCTTGTTAGAGTTAAGAATATGTTTGAGGAGAGAGGGGTGTTTGTAAATTGTAACGCTCTCCAGAAGAGAATGTGAGGGACTTTTACAGGCTTTCAGGTCAAACTTCAATTATTGAACAAAATAGAAGATGATACAACTGGCAGAAGACCATGCGATTGCAGCTCCAAAATACATTTGTTGATTTCTTCAAACATATTAAAGTTCAGTTGCTGTAAACTTACACTTTCTTCTACACTTCCTCTGAGTCCACATGTGCCCAACAGTATATAGGAACCAGACTCTAAGCAGTGGTGTATTCAAATTAACATGGCTGCAGCTGTGCTCACTGACATCAGTGTTGGTAAATACACCACTAAATTGAAAAATTACGATGCTGCAATATTTTGCACACCTGACAGTAATTTCCAACAGGTTGAGTAAATATCCCCCATGGTGTCATATCTTGTACAGACTGTAAATTTCCTTGAGGATAATTTGTGGTACTGGGCTGTACTAATAAAATTTGATGCGATTTGACCTAATTACATTTGGCCCACATCACCACTGTCATGACTGTGTCTTGTACATAACAGCACCCAAACAAAAACTTAAAAAGAAAAGGATTCAGAGCTAAAGGGTGGTTGCATAAATAAGATAACCTCTCTAGCATCTGTTCAACATTCACGAGAATCCGCACTTCAGCATCACTGTCTGCTGCACTGCTGTATCAATTCAGTCCTACGTGTTTAGGATAACTTGTGTTCCAAGACTAATCCTAAGCATATGAAAGGAGAAAGAGCGAAAGGGAGGGTGAGAGCGTGTGTGTGTGTGTATATGTTTGTGTTTAACCGAAAGAGATGAGGAAAGTGTGTGCACCAGAGATATAAGATGAGAGAGAGGGCTAAAGGAAGAGTGTATAACTCCCGCTGTCAAGATAATCTTATTGTAGCGTGTGATGCCTCATTATGCTCTCATCTTACTGTATACTGTGAGGACCCATGTGATTCAAAAGTAAGCAGTCTGTGAAATTCACTCTTATATGTGAGATACAATCGGATTATAAAAATGTTTGGGATTTTAAAACTCCTGCAAACTGTGCTTTTTCATAAATGTCTGTTGATTTTTTTCTATATTAGTACTAAAGATTGCAACTGATCAGAACTGGACCAGAAACAGACAAACCTAAATACTTGCAAGTGT